CTGAGCGAGTTCGGCCCCTTTGATTTTCTGACTCCAACTCATTGCACATTTCATTATAATACTTTGTCTTGTCATGCAGCCTTTTGGAATCTCCTGTTCAGCTCCTTAATGTCTTGATTTCTTCCTTCTGGTTTGGCTTCTTGGTGCTCCAGTGTTCAGTCTCTTTTAATATCCATTTTGGTCTTTTCTTCCTCCTCTATATTTGCAATGACCTTTGCATTCTTCCTGGATGATATTCTTTTTAAATTTCTTCCCACCCCCTGGATGATATTCTTGATATCTTTCCATAACTATCTTGTCTTTGCTCATTAGTGTTCAAGGCCTCAAACCTATTCCTGAAATGGCTCTGAAATTCAGGTGGGATAGACTCAAGGTCATAATTTGGTTCTTGTGGGCTTGATTTCACTTTCCTTAGCTTCAGCTTAAACTTGCATGTAAGTATTTGGTGATCTGTTCCATAATTAACACCAGGCCTAGTTTTCACAGATTAAGACAGACTAGGAAGAAGGATTGGCCATCCACTCCCGAAATAGCAGGCTCTTGAAAGCCCTATGAACAGTGGAACACACTTAGACTAGCAGATAGGGCAACAGAGGTGGAGCTTTCAAGTATGGAAATAGTAAGGAGGAGGAACAGTTGTAAACAGACACTAGTGGTTGGAACATGGGATGTAAGAACTATGAATGTGGGAAAATTAGATATTGTTAAGGAAGAAATGGAACACATAAATAGTGACATACTAGGTGTTGGCGAGATGAGATGGATTGGCATGGGACATTTTGAATCAGATGATCATAAGATCTATTGTGCTGGAGATGAAAAGGTGAGAAAAATGGGGTTGCTTTCATAGTTAAAGAAGTCATTTCTACATGTCTTGATATATAATATTGTGAGTGACAGGATAATATCCCTACACATACAAGGAAGTCCAGTGAATACCACTATCATTCAAATATATGCACCAACAACCAGAGCCAAAGAAGAAGAAATACATGATTTCTACCAACTTTTGCAGTCAGAGATCGCCCGAACATGCAATCAAGATTCATTAATAGTGATGGGTGTCTAGAATGCAAAAGTTGGGAGCAGAGAAGGATTAATAGTTGGAAAGCATGGACTTGGTAACAGAAATGAAGCTGGAGATAGGATGATAGAATTTTGCACAATCAACTATTTGTTGCAAATACATTTTACAAGAAACATAAACACAGGCTATACACATGGATTTCACCTGATGGTATGCATAGGAATCAGAATAATTACATCTGTGGAAAGAACCACTGAAGAAGCTCGGTATCAGCAGTGAAAACTAGGCCTGGTGCTGATTGTGGAACTAACTATGTTACTAGACTAATTAACTGAAATGTTCCATGAAACCATGACCCTGAACCTCCAAACCAAGAAACCAAATCCCATGAGATTTTTAATGTACATGATCATAGAGAAGATCTTCACCCTGAAACCCACAGCGTCCCTTTTCAGCAGGAAGTAGCTAAGAG